AATACTTGAGCAGCTCTATATAATTAATGGTTGCACTTTGGGTCACTAAATCACCAATTTCATATTAAAATGCTAGCAGAGGGGGCTCTTTTCCATCCGTCTGAATCATCTCCAAGTCAGTCTGTAATTGGCCTGTGGCCTCTTCAGACTATATGGACACTCAGAGGCTGTATGCCTTGGGTGGCTGCCACCTCCCTACAATGTCACTGAAGGCAGAGAGTCACCACTCCCACTCAGAAGCACATCCATTTCTTTTATGAAATGTAAACAAGCATTGACTAAATGAGGAGTGTACCCTCACTCTCACTTCTTTGGTCTTTGTGCTGTTTACATACACTGTCTCATTTTCCTCATAATGACCATGTGATCGGAGAGCTACTGTTCCCCTTTTCAAGATGAATTCAGAGAGGTTGGGTGCCTTGCCCAAGCCCACAGAGCTAATAAGTGGGACCTAGGGTTAGAACTCATATCGGACTCCAGTACCCTAATTTCTTTGTGCAGAAGTGTATTACCTCTCATGACGCATAGATTAAATCAATGTAGAAACCTGCTAGACTCTAAGTGCCCAAGGGCAGAGACAATGACTATTGTCTTTTAATGGAATCTGAGCTACACCATTTTTCATCCAGGTCACATTATAGAAAAAGATTCAGCACCTTAGTGGGGCCTGTGGCTTATTCATCTCTCTCCTGTGCCCAGGTTCCATCCCTTAATTATACTCGGGAATCACATAAGTGCCTCTGGAACTGTGCTTTCCAATATAATGGGTGCTTGAAATATGGTTAGTCCGTGTTGAGATGTGCTGTGAGCAAAAAAAATACACTGGATTTTGAAAACTTGTGAATGGTATATAAAATGTTTCATGAATAATAATTTTATGTTAATTACAGGTTGGAATGATGGTATTTTGAGTATATTAGTTAAATCCAGTGTATCCCCAAAATTAATTTCACCTGTTTATTTATTTTTTACTTTTTTACTGTGGCTACTGAAACATTTCAAATTACGTGTGTCTTGCATTTTATTTTTATTGGACAGGTTGAGGTAGAGGCAGCATCTCTGAGCCTCAGTTTCCATTCTGAAAGTGGTGCCTTGGTACTTATAGGAGGGAGATGAAGGTCAGAGGTGTAGAATTGGAGGAGGCACCTGGAGAAGCAGGGGCATAGTCTTGGGGTACATGAACATGTGGAATGATGGAGGCATCAATAAGATCTAGCTGAGCCTGACCAGAATTCCTACCAATAATACAGTTGCCGATGTTCCAGGGAGGAGCAGTGGGAAGTGGAAAATGTGCCCTGGTGCTGGGGGCAAGTAACAGACCTGCTAATCCTCAGAGGTCAGGTCCTCAAGCTTTTGCTGCCACGCTCCCTCTGCACACACTCACATGCACACTCACACACACTCACATGCACACACAATTTCTCAGCTAATTTTAGCCATGAGGCAGGCTTTGCAGGCAGACTGATTTCAATCCCAGCTTGCTCATTCACACCTCACATCACCTCTCTGAGGCAGGGCTTATTCATCTGTAAAACAAGGTTCATAATGCCTTCCTTGTAAGGATGGCTGTGGACATTAAATGAGGTTTTTACTCATATTTTATTGTACACAGCATGAGGGCTAAGGGAATACACTGCAGCCACTGTCTGGGTTTGAATCGTGGGTCTGCTGCTCACAAGCTGGGTGACCCTGGGCAGATTACTTAATTTCCTCATGCCTTCATTTCCTCATCCGTTAAAATGGGAATGAAAAGTTTAGCCTACTTCCTAGGGTTATTGTAAGGATTAAACAAGGCAATGCAAGTAAAGGGTTGAGACCTGTGCCTGGCAGAGAGATGGTGCTATGGAAGGGTTAGCGTTTCTTATTATATTAGAATTGCCCAGTAACTTTTCTGTCCCCCCACCACTGGACTGTCCCAGTAAGGAAAGACTTGTCTGCATCCTATCTGCCATGTTCACCATGAAGGAGCGCAGCATGTCATTTGCTTGGGAGACAAAGGAAGAGGAGAAAGAGGAGGAGAGGAAGGAAAGGAGGGAGGACTTAGTTGGAATGTTTAAAAGGACTGCAGTGATGTGAAAGGGGATGTGGGAAGGGCCTGGGGTAGACTCCTGACAGGCGACACCTCCCTTTTTCTCTGCTACCCAAACACAGCAGGAAGTATGACAGATGCTTCCTGTACATAAGGCGGCTATTTTATCACATGCCTTGGTTTTCCCCTTGGCCAAGAATTACGCGTAGATGAAAAAAAGTCCTCCCTCCCCCCACTACTTCCTCTTCCTCCTTACCCCTCCCTCCCTCAGCCCCTCCCTCTTCCTTCCTTCCTTCCTTCCTTCCTTCCTTCCTTCCTTCCTCTTTCTGTAACAGTGAAATATTTTAATGGCATTTTTTAGAAGTCTGCTGGTCTGTGAGACCTCTGCTCTTCCATTGCTTCCAGAATCTCCATGGGGCATCTGCCAACTCCATTTCAAAGGAGAGTCTTTAAGTGGGGAATTGCATCTGGTAGAATCTGGAGTCTTCTGCTGTCTCCAGGCCCAACTCCTAGTTTCTGGGGATTGGGAAGGTTTGCACTGACAGATGGGGACAGACCATGTCCCTGAGACACATTTGGGGACAGTGATCAAATTCTGTTCTCCTTCATACTCTACCATCCATTACAACATACTGTCTCCAAAAAGGAGGGTGGTGAGTATTAATTTTTCCATTTTATAGACTATTAAACTGAGAGATAGTGTCACAATGGTTAAAATTTTGAGCTTGGCCATCATTCATACCTGAGTACCAAGTTCAACTTCACTCATTGTTCCCAAATCACTTTCCCTTCCTGAACCTTGGTTGCTTCATCTATAAAGTGAGCATCATGTTGCCTCCCTCTTATGAGGACTATGAGTTTGAATGAGATGACATATGCAAAGCTCATAACACAGCACTTGACACCTGATGCTTAAAGAACAATCTGTCTTCCCTAAGCTTCCCTCTCAAGTTGCTTCCCAGGAAAGCAACTTGCATACCAGAGAGCCAAGACTTGGAGCTGGGCAGTGTGGCCCTGAATTGTAGCTTTCCTACTCATCAGTTGTATGACTTTTGGCAGGTAACTTCACCTTTGCATGTCTCTGTGTCTTTGTATTATTGTCTCAGTTGTTAATTACACCTTCCCCATGAATATGTCATGATGAGAACTGTATGCAATAATGTATAGACATCTTCTGGGTACTTAGTAGATTGCTGAAGACATTGCTGGAATGAATAAATGCATAATAATTATATAGCAGAAAGTGTGTCTGAAAGTGGTGTTTCTGTGTATTGAACATCATTGCCGATGCCCCAGCAGAGGAAATGACAGAGTAAATCCTTACATGGACTGAATAACATTTCCCTCTAATTATGCCTTTCTTTTCTTCAGGTGGAAGTTTTGCAGTAGCTGATAGGTTTGCATGGTGCTTGAGCCAAAAGATACACAGCATATATAGGGAAAGGCATCTTCCTCCATCTCCATCCTCGGCCACTTACTTCTCCATCCAGGACAACCACGTTTACCAGATCCTTGAGTGTCCTCCCAGAGACAATCTGTTGACGTAGGCATCTGAGCTCCTTCCACTAAACAGTTTTCCAAACCAAGGTCCCTCTTGCTCCCTGCTCTGCCCACCCCACACCCCCACCATGCTCTGAGGCTCTCTTGTAGCCATTCCTCTCTGGGATAAAGAGTTTCCCGACCCTTTCATCCTTCTTTTTCTACATCCTGCACTTTTTTTTTTTACAATAAACAGAAAGAAAAGCACAGAGGAAATAAAACTTACCCATATTTCTCCCTGTAGAATTAACTGCTATTAGTATTTTGATATATTTCTTTCTAGGCTTTTTTCTTTATTGTTTCTGTGATCAGTTGTTCGCTGCATATGGAAGCCTTGCCCTTTCCCCTCCATGTTCCTCTGAGTTTGTCTCTGAGGCATCCCTTGCGCTCATCTCTTCCTCCACATCCTCACCACCCCTGGCCTTACCCAGACCCCCACCTCCTCTCACCTGGGCCATTGCTGAGCCTCCTAGCTGCTTGCCCTCCCTGGCACCCATTCTGAGACCTGTGAGCCACCATCATGTCCTTCCTGGCATGTGCAGCTGATGAACTGATTCTCTTGCTTCAGAAGCTTCCGTGACATCCCAAACTTAGTCCCTGTCCTCGGTGTGGCACTCGGGGACTTCCACTCCTTCCCAGTCAGCACTCCACCCCTGCTGCCTCCTCCCCCACCCCGCCCCAGGGATGCTCCAGCTCTTATCTCTCCTTCCAACTCCATTTTCCACCATGGAAGCCCCATCCATCCTTCCAGCCCTTACCTCAATCTCCCTTCCTCTGTAAAGCCTTCCCGGGCCCTCCGTGCTGGGATGGATTGCTCTCTCCCATATTCCCGGTGTCTCACTGTGTGGGAAACATGGCCATGAATTATAATAAAGGCTCCTTAAGATCCCATTTGTCCCTGTGACTGGCTTATGATCCCCTGGCTGGCAAGGACTGGTGGTTTCTATCTTTGCTTCTCCCGTGTCTGACTCTGGGCCTGGTGTATAGTAAGCACTTGACTGAAATGTGTGTGAAATTAAGTTGCCTGGAGTGTTTCCTTAGAGGCTGGATCATCATAACAATATACCTATCAGTTACTCAACACCCACCCCGCCGGCAGGGTCTTTTACGTATCTTATCTCCTTTAATCTCCAGAGCAACCCCACAAGGTTAATAGTGATGGTCCCTGACTTGGAAAGAAAGAACCCAGGGCTCAGAAAGATGAGGCATCTCCTCAAGGTCACACAGCCCCGAGGCTGCCAAGCCCATAGTTAGAACCTAGATCCACATCACTGCAGAGCCTGAGCTCCTCCTGTAAATCATGCCGACTCCTGGGTCCCTTGGGATTTACAGAAAAGGGTCTGGGGATGGGGTTGCTGACCTTTGGGACGGATGAGGGATTTAATAGCTTCTGGAGGCCTGTGATGACAGATGAATTGTGCTTCCTGCACAGGGGGCATCAGCTTTGGGAGGACCAAGGGGACGTCGGGTTCAGAGGCAGACGACGAAACGCAGCTGACGTTCTACACGGAGCAGTACCGCAGCCGTCGCCGCAGCAAAGGTAACGGAGTCCTTGGGAAGGTTCCAGAACCAGGGTTTTAGGAGGAAAACCTGGGAAACAGATTCTGTGCTTCTTGACAAACCCTGGATTTTCTTCATCCTGGTGCTGATCCAGTTAACCCTGAGCTTGGCATTCAGTACCCTGATTGCCCATCCTTTATTTGCTTTCTTTCTTACCCCATTTTTCAAAGGATTTGGGGATTTTTTCAAGTTTATGCAGTTTTTTTACAAAAAAAAATCATCACAATAGAGAATCAGATGGAAAGGAAAATAGGAGTAAGGAAAGTTATTCAAACTCAGCTCAGATGTGTGCACGGTTATCCATGCTGTGCTGTGTTGTGAAGTTCTCAGAAGGAGCTGACAGCTTAACTCAGAGATTCTTAGCAACCAAAGTGCAAAAGGTAACATACTCAGCAGTAGAATGCACAGGGTCTATGTGATAAAACCAGCATTTATTCAGGAAATGGTGTTTATCTGACACAGAGACCAGACAGAAAGTTATTCAGTTGGTTTCTATAAACAGGACTCCTTGTGACTCTCTAGACAGTGTGTTTTCAGCAGACAGAATCAGTGTCGATGCATAATTTTTTTTCTCACAATGCCACTTAATGTCAGGATATGTCAGAATGCTGAAGTGGAACCCCCTTAAAGAGCTAGACCTTGTGGCCGAGGTCCATCGTTCTCTCTGGTAAAACGTGCTCTGGAGAGAAAATGGATCATATGTCAAGCAGTCACCTGGGAATAGGACACCTCATCCTTGAGTGTTTTAGAAGGATGACAAAGTAGCAAGTTCAAGATTGCAATCTTGGGAGAGAACTTAGGGTGCAAACATGTATTTCATGCCAGTGATTAAGGGCAGATCTGTGGGCTTAGACCAGGCCCTGGAGAGAAGGGAGGTCCTCTGACAAACATGATGGCAGCTAATGCAGGCATGTGGCAGCCTGTGCCCCCCACCACCACCTCCAGCTCTGCACGGAAGTGGGCTGAGGATGTACCTGTGGTAGGGGAGAGCAGGGGAAGTCTTCTTCACAAAACAGCCCTACGCATGTGTGATGGACCTTCAATAGGCATAGATCACATAGCTTCTCTGGGTGCCTTTGGCTGCTGCGCAAGTTATCTACCCACCCAATACCTCAGTTTTCTCTTCTGTGAAATGGGTCTTGGAACTGTCTCATTGACTCAGAGATGAATTTTGGTTCTGTTTAAAAATGTATCATGGCACCTGATACATACTAAGGGCAGATAAAGTGGACATCATTCATGTTCTTTCGGTTCTGTTTGTTGCTTTCCATATCTCTCTACTCCTGGTGCCTTTCACCACAAAGGCCTTGTAAGGAGAGTGTCTCCCTTGACACATCACCTGGGATGGCCTTGCAGCCTCTGCTGATGTTAGAATAAGTGGGCTTGCCTCTTACACTTCCCATGCCTCAGCTTTCTGGTGTCTGCTGCATTGGAAATTTAGAAGTTGGTGATGGATGATTCTTGATCTGTCTTCTTCCTCTCCCAGTACAACAGCCAGAATTAGGGCTGGGGAAGTTGGTGGGTCTCCTCTGCAGGACCGGGCTCTTTACAGCTAATTGGAAAAGCATCTATCATTGAGCGTGCCCCTCGTAAACTGGAGTTAAACTTAAAAAAGAAAAGCAAAGGCAAGCTGCAGGACTTGAGATAAGTGATTTGGCCCAGTACCTCCATACACTCCAAAAGGCAGGGCTGTGTTTCCAGGATGATGGGGATGCCATGGGCTGTGATGCACCCCATGAACACACACACCTTCCTTCCTTCCCCTCCTACCAGTGGAAAACAAAAGCTGCTTCGTCCCTCTCCTCCACTTACTGTCCACTAATAGCAAGTCCCTCTCCCTCCACCTCCGGTTCCACCACACCTTTCTCCGTCTCCTCTTTCTCCATATTTGGATTTGTTTGCTTGCATATTTCTTATCAATCTTACTTCTTTTTTTTCTTTTACTCTTCTCCTTCCTCTCTTCTTTCCTCCCTCATCTGTCACTGCTTCCTTCCTCCTCATTCTTCTGTCTTTTCTTTTTGTGGGTTTCTTTTTATTGTTTTATTGAGGTATAGCTGATTTACATTGATGTGTTAGTTTCAGGTGTCCAGCGAAGTGATGCAGTTACACATATATAACTGACAATGTAATATATACTTTTCATTATAGGTTATTACAAGGTATTGAATATAATTCCCTGTGCTCTATAGTAGGCCCTGGTTGTTTAGCTCTTGTATATAGTAGTGCCTTTTCTTTTTTTCTCTCCTGTGTCCCTCTGTCTTCTCCTTCTCTATCCTTTTTTTGGTCTCTTCTGTTCCTCCCTCTCCTCCCACCACTCTGCTCTTTTCTCCAGCTATTTCCTAGTGAATCCTTCCTTCTTTTCTCCTTCCCTTATTTTCTTCCATAAATATGTCAAATACTTGTTAAGCACCAACTATGTGTCTGACACTCTTCCAGGCAATGGGGACAGAAACCAAGCAAAAGTTTTTAAAAGCCCTGCCATCATGGAGTTTGTATTATATCAAAATATAAACATGTGAGATGGTGGCCAACGCTAAGGAGAAACAGTACAACAAGGGAGGGGATTGAGGGAGTAAGGAAGGGACTGCAAGTTTAGATTCCCTGAGCACGAGTTACCCTACTCTTCTGCAGGGTTGCAGAGAAAGCACTCCTGACATTGTGGTTGGTGTTGTCAAGGTTATTGCTTCTGTTGCCACTGCTACTATGGTTGGTT